AATTCATCCCATTATTATCTCGGTCATTAAGTTTGCAATCAATAAACTTTATATTCATTTGGTATTGTTTGTTTATATCTTGCTACTATCATTTGCAATCCTAAACAACAATCGGAAGATACAAGCAAATAATACCAAGTGAATTTAAATTTTACCACATTGTGCAAGAAGGTGGCTATCAGGAATCAACAGCAAAATGGATAACGTGATGGCATTCATAGCGAACGGTACTGAGTTTGAGTCATGGAATGAACATCAACCCTGAAATGCAGGTACGTCCAGTTGATGAGTGCCAGATAGGACGAAATGCGCGTCCTGGATCTCACTGCTAGCCACCATCCATCTTTGCTTGTAAAATAATGAGCTTTATGCCTAGATTCTGCTAAAAAATCTATTGAGAAGAAGTTTTAATGATTATTTCATTAAATTTTAATTATTTTCTGTTTAGAACTGATATTTGTTTGAACTGAATTCATCTTTTGCATAAAAGTTTTGATTACTACAATAGTTGAAAAAATGACTTGATTTCCTTGTAAATATCATACTATTTTACTAGATATGCATTTACGTAAAATTGCTTTGTTAAAATAAAAGTATTTCCTCAAATATTCAGTTAAGTCATAAGGCAGTTTCTGGAGGTGGTCGACTGGAAATCATGGATCTGGGTTTCGTGTTATTTGAAACTTGTCAGAAGTGTTTAAGTACTTTCGAGGGATGGACGACACTAAATAAAGTCCATTTGAGAGCACATAATCCCTCAAGATTACGCCTTAATGACAAGTGCCACATAGAACGAGACATAGTTCATGCAAGGTTTCCTGTTGACTATCCCTACCCACCATCTAACATCGTAATATGAAGTGCACGATATCGAGTCACTTAGACTAGTGGGCACATTGTAATACTGTCGAAAAAATTCAATTATCACTAAGAGGGACTTGACGTATAAAATATTGGTCACTACTCAGTAGTCAATCAATTCATATAATTAAAATTTTTCCATTATTCTGTAATTAAGATTCATTTTATTCATGTTATAACTTCGTTAGATTGCATAGTAAGTTCCAGATGGAGTTGAGTGACGAGAAAGTTTCCACAAAACATTGAAAAACATCAGATCCTTCGATGGGGTTTTCAGTACCCTCAGAGAAAATTTATGGTTAACTACTTTAAACTTATTGTCGCAGGCAATAAACAACAGCTATGACAAAGACTTCAAAGGAGTGCCGGACAAATGTTTCACCAAAATTCAGGACTTCTGAACGGTGATGATCCAAGATTATGTACAGAATCGGGCCCAGAACCTACAGGTCTCGTAGCTGTCACAATAATTTGAACCACTGAATCAATAATTGATCGTTTAGACTTCCCGGCCCAATCCACACTATAATATAGTATGTACGTTGTACATATATCCCAGGTTTTACTAAACTTATAGTCTTTTTATCGGTTTTAAATATTCGTCAATATTTGGGCGCCGAGTGAAAAAAAATCGAAATAATCTCAGTGGTTGAAACTTAGAAAATTCCAACGTTTTGTCCAGTAAACTTGCCTGGAGTTCTCAAGGGTAATAATCAAAATCATAATGTTTAATAGTCAAATAAAATCTATATTGTATTTATCCAATCGTTTCAGATGTTGACTTTTGTTTGTAAGGTAACGTGAGTCAGTTAAGTGTAAATCATATGAAAAGTTCACACTATGAACATAAATTAATATGTGATAATGTGTTTATGTGTAAATTTAAGTTATCGGTAGTTGGTTATATTGTTGGTATATTTTGTTGATCATTGCACTGAAGAAGTCCAAGCAAGTTTTCTGGACAAAACGTCTTAATTATTTAAATACCAATTGCTAAGAGTATTTCAAATATAATTTTCACAAATTATGACTAATTTAAAGTTTGATTATTGAGTGGTAACCCGTGTCAAGTTCGTCTAGTCTTTGATTTCGATAGAATTATATCGGTCAGTTTTGAATGTGACTTCTAGTCCAAGTGACTTGATATCAGATGTACTATGTTTTGATAATAATTGGTTGAAGGTAGACGATAAGAAACTTTAGACCTAAATCGTGCAGAACCTTACATTTGTTAGTAAGACGTATCTGAATTCTTGAGGGATTTGATGTTCTACTTTGAGGCCTAACTTGGATACAAAGCGACTGATTAGTGACTTCTCAGACTAAGGAGCTGGGTGACGTGAGTCCTGATCTTAGTCGAAGCACTAATCTTTTTGAGAGTGTAAATACGTCTTTCTGACAAGTACAAGCGTAGTAAATAAGAAGACGAGTGGGGACAATCGAACGTATTTGACACAAAATCACAGGACTTGTTAATAAAATCTAACAATCATAAAGTAAATGCTTAACTTGCAAAATGTCCATCAATTGTCTCAAAATGACTCAGACTTCATTGTTCTTGCATTTTCATACAAATTGCATTCTGTTTCCATTCTTTACTGTTCGATTCTCTTGTCTCTCTGCTGCTAGACATTCTGTTCATGACTAACATCATATACTACTTATGTCAATATAAGTAGCACACACCACACAAGCAAACAAACCATTTCTCATTTAAAATATCACAAATATATGAATTTCAAGACACTAAATTTAATCAGAAGACGATTAATTAACTTTAGCTTACCATTTAGTAGCCTTGTGAATTAACCATTATGCCTAATTCTCGTTAGATATATATCCCTACAGAAACTGAACAATTACAGTCCTGATTATCAATAATTGGGAATTACCGTATAATATTCTTTAGATAGTCTCTTCAAAATGATCTTTGAACTAGTTGAAATCTAATGAAATTAAAAACGAGTACAATAGTTTTGCTATTACGCTTATATATATTACTTATTACAAGATATGTTAGTTTACAAGTACTTTCTTATTCGTAAATACATTTAACAAAAATTAAACTTTTTTACCACTAAACAGTGTACTTTATTAAAAGGTAAATATTTTCTATTATCACTTGAACTATTCCATAATTAGAAATTATTAGAATAAATAATTTAATCAATAAAACATTTGTGAAAATTCTATTGTGGAGTAAAAGACAAAAAGGTAAAAGAAAAATACCTTTCAAGGATGTTTATTCTGGGTTTTTTTTTGTATTATTCCCTCTTTATTTTTATGGCTTTTGTTTTAAATAAGTATTATTATTATTACTATTATTATTGAATTTTGAGTTGAGTAAGTTTCCATGTCAATTTTGATTGGTCTAAAAATTATAATAATTATTGTTGAAATAATGTCATAATTTATAATGAAGATGAACTATAAAGGTAGGTTGAATTAATATGGGAAAATTTTCAAGTTCTATCAAATATTAATATAATTGAAATGAAATCATTTGTTGTGAATGAATTGAAGATAAATGGGAGCTTAGTGGTTTAAAAGTTTAATGTTCGTTTGAAAATCTTAAGGTCATAATTTCGATCTCTGATGGAGCCATAGACATGTACTGCTGAAGAGCCTTATACCAGGATGAAACATTTTTTCAGTAAATTTCGATTTTCACTCATCATCTAACTAATTTCACCTCATCACACAAACTATGAAATTCATTTTATTTATTTAAGTAAGTAAGTTGGAGTCAGGGAAAAATATCTAAAAATATTTTATAGCTTAAACTGATTTTATTAAATCATTTAGTGTAACCATCTATCAAAACGGTTGATTTTTTATCTTGAATGAAAGACGATAATTTCATCGAAACATTACAGTACAATAAGAAGTAGCGTCATGACAAATATGAGTGTTTATTACCCATAATTTGTTTTAAAAGAATAATTAAATGAGTAAACATAGGTAAATAATATGGGATTATTATTTGACTCAACAATATATTTACAATTTTGCATCCAGTACATAGACAATGATCAATTTTCCGGTAAACATATCTCGAAAACGTTGAGTCTGAGTATCATATCAGAAGAATAATGGTAATTCACATTAGGTTAGATGTTTTTATCAAATAAAAAATTGTAAACTCAGTGTTCTAAAAAAATGATTCATTGGCAAAAAGTCATCCTAATAATCACAAGCTCAATGAAGCAAAACAGTATAAAATATATCAACAATTTTTACAACCAAATAACTACTCAACGAGCGTCGATAATTTCCGTATACATAGTCGGCATTTTATGTGACATTTAAGATTTTACTGTCGAAAAAAGGAAGATCGAACGAAACATGTTGAGACATTCTGGATCTACTATTCAAAAAAGTATTATAATTTATGAAACCGAATAAAAACATGTGACTGGTTAGCAGTTAATTTTTCCAGTAATCCACTTGTAAATGAAAAACAGTATCATAACAATTACTGTCAATCGAGCATATTGGCCTGTACAGTTTTGTTCTTTGATTTATTTGAAGTGGGAAACCATTAGAAATAAGAAGATAATATAAAAATGCTTTGCTTTACGACAAAACTTTTAAAAGTAGGGATTAATCAACCTTCGTGGAATCGAACCCAGGACTTTTGTAATGATTATTTTTAAATTTAACTGTACAAGTAATTCAAGCAAGCAATCTGACAATTATTTAATTAGACGATTGCTTTCTAACTCAGTACATTTCTAGTATGTACTATATTAATAGTTCATTTGGTAGTTCAATTCTACTTAAAGTTACACTGTACTAAGTTTACTAATTTTGTTATCCTATTTAATCATAGCGTAATGATAGAATATATATATAAAAACACTATCTGAATCGCATTTCCACGTTAATAATTATGTAGGTATGTGTGAATTTATTCGTTTACTAGTTATATTTCATAGTTCATATAGGGTCACGTTATTAAGTGTTTAATGCTTTGTTATTTAATTCAGTTAAAGAGATATGCTTGTATCGATGCACATTATTGCTCATAATTTAATTATATATTCTATTGGTGAACTATTTAATCCAATGATATTAAGTTATTGATTATTTGAAAAACTGAAGTATTTACTTCGTAAACTATAATCAATGTCAGCAAACTAATTTGAATATTTTTATAAATCGATTACTTTCCTGTAATAATTCTGGTTAGTTTTAATAAATGTCAAATTTGTCAAAAAACATGCGATATAATGTAGGTAACAATTTTAATGTTGAACTTGATAGTTTCAAATAATATAAGAAGCGGTTTTGTGGATATTATAGTAATTTCAATAGTTGGGATCATAAACCACCATGGAAAACCTGGAAGCACTGGACGGCCTATCAGACCTATCAGTGGTCTAATCGTTAGGACTGATAGGCCTTGGGTTCGAATCTCGCCAGGAGAGGTCGTGGATGTGCACTGCTGAGGAGTCCCACAGTAAAACGAAACGGCCGTCCAGTGCCTCCAGATTTTCCATTGTGGTCTAGCTTCAACTGACTCACGATCTCAACTATTAAAGTTTCAAATAAATCGAGCATATGGTAGGAAGATGATGAATAGAAAAACTGTATTTCTGACATATCGCAGCTTAGTGTAACCTACTTATTCAGAGTAAATAAATAACCGACAATAAATTAACACAAATTTAAAATACAATCCAATATTTCAAATGTCACAATTCCAGTCACTTCAGCGAGTGAAATGGAAATATAACTAATCAAGTCAATCACTTTTATTATAAGTTTATCTGGAATTTTGAGAGGACCAATGCTATTTGGGAAATCTTACTCTATATTACACAGCTTGATAACATGATAAGTTACCAATGAGCTGTATAAACCTACTGTATATAGAGGGTTTCTTGTGGACAACCTTCAACCTCTTGAAATAGTGTATTCAATCGATCCACTTAAACTAGTTGTCACACTACAAATTGATCGATTTTATTTGAACGGAGCTAAAAGAGCATACAATATGAGATTTACTGAACAAACATTTGTAAGTTATATGTTCATATTAAGATCAAAGTCAGGTATGATTAGTTAAAGTTATTTTTATCAACGTTATTTTTTATGAGACGGGATTGTTAACCTCATGCTCGATACATCTTCTTTATCCAAGTACGGAATCGGCAGTAAACGTAGAAGGGCTCCAGATGGATTTAGCTATGATTAGTATTATTTTGTAACATTCCAGAGTTGTACTGACCAAACCTAATTAAAATGTAATGATCTATTTTACATTGCTCTAAAGTTTTATTGATTTAATCTATTAAAACTATTTAGAAATAAAATTCACTTGGCATTGTTTGGCTTGTATCTTCCCATTGAGGTTTAAGACTGCAATTGATCAGCCTGTTATTGGCATATGTGCATACTGTGCGTATGCCTCGATATTACCGGAATTCACAAGCTATTTGTAAGCAATGATGGATAGTGGCTAGCAGTGGAATCCAGGACTCGCGTTTCGTCTTAACACGATGGCGTTTGAAGTGAATGTTACTGGGTTCGAGTCCCAGAGTGAGCGTCAACTCTGAGATGCGGGTACATCCAGTTGACGAGTCGCAAATGGGACGAAAAGCGCGTCCTGAATCCTACTGCTAGCCACTATCCATCATATTTAGAAATAAAATGGAATAAAATCTTACTTATCTTTAATAATATTAAATTCAGGTGTCTTAGTTTCACAAATAAATGGGGAAGTCCTCAACAACAACAACAATAACAAAACTGGATTGAAATCAATCATTACAATTGATATTTAACAAAACTTCATTAGTTCCCTTCAGAGTAATGTCAACTGTACTTGAAAATCAACCATATGCAATATATCCTATTGTGTTTAATCCTTATGAAGTGCCAAGTTATAAACGACTAGCTACTTTCAGTAAGTTAATTTTTAAAAAAAGTGACAAATAAACAAAAGAACATGCATTTTAATTCAATGATCAGTGTTTTGGTGTGTTATTTGAATATTTAGCTCTTTTTTTATCATTGACCAACATTTATAATCATTTATTAACGTTATCAAACACGAATTTACCCTCAAGTTTGATTAACAGTTGACATCGAATAATTTGAGTGAATTATACTTTATGGATTCTGACCGGGTGCTTACAAAAATAATTGTATTGCAAGATAACTTCATACTGAAGAATGAATAGTTCGACTAAAAGATTTAAACGGTAAGGATTATCACTATTACATATGTGCGGATGGATATGTAAGGTCATTTAAAAATAGATATGAAAAACAGTGATTGTTTACACTTTGGAAACTGACAAGATGAAGTGCGGATCAGTTACCGGACATCTGAAGAGTTTACATAAGTTTTAATAGTTGGGTCATAGGAAGTTACATAATGAGTAGAAAGGTTATTGTAAACTGAATGTATCTTAATAGACGGTAAAATTGTAGCACGCTATTTTTCAACTCTCAATACGTATAACCGATCACGCTGGAGACATAAAATTAGATACAACAAACGTCAGTGTATTTCCATTAACATCTTAATGTAATTCAGTCACTGAATTAACTATGTATTTGCTTAAATGTGTGTGACTGTTTGTATGTCTATTATCTATTCTTTTATCGGTTGTAAAGACAATCAGTTAATATTTTACTACTTATTTACGTATTTTGGTTTATATTTCAAGGACTATTCACACGTTCTCTTGTTGTATTTGATCTGATCGATAATGCAAAATCTGTTGAGTTAATGCGATCAATTCCAACCCAACTCATATTTAGCTATGGGATTTCTCGAGTGGTGATAAATCTATTAAATGACTCTGTTCTCAATCTATGAGATAATATTTTATGAATTTTTTCTCAAAACACTTTGATAAGGCAAATTATTCATTTCAGTACAATAGTGATTACGATCTCGGTATCATTTTCAAAAGTCATAATGAATTTATATTTATCCTCTGTTACTGATCACGTATATACTGGCAGAAATCTTTTGAAATTTCAGTTTCATGTTTTGTGATTCGTCATTACATCAGTATTAATTTTAACAGTTCGGTAAGAATTTGTTCATGTTTAGGGAGGGGAGGGGTTTTTAATCATAAATATACTTTGCTTCACCTAGCAATTGTTGAAAGTTTCATTCTAATAAAAAGAATTAACTTCTAATCAATGCACTTATTTGAAATAGTCGATATAATATACTCTGTCCAATAAGTACTTACCTGAGGTCATAGAGACTTTATGTCAAAAAGTGTAAAATACTCCAATATCACCCATTTCAACACATCTCTCACTTGTGGAAGTTATTTGTAAATCTTCTTTCAATTGTTTAAACAGCATTACACATCTTCAGAAGTTAAATTTTACAGAAGCCTGTTCAGTACAGAATTTGTGATTAAGTATTAGAAACCCTATCGGGAAAATTGTGAAACATCAAAAATGGAATTTTGAGATAATACGTTGAAGAAATAATTTTTTTTTTAATATATGTAGACTGAATTTTCGAAAGTAGAAATTTATGTACTCAGTTGATCTATTTATTGAACAAAGTAATAGTATATAAATCTGCTATAGTAGTTGTTCTAAAAATGTTCAACTTTACCGATTGTTTTAGTAGGAAAAGTGACATTAAAAGGATATTCACTTAATTGATATCCATTATGTGGTAAGGTAAATCTACAAGCGAATCGTAATAAAATAGTGTTTAAGTTAGTGTGAAAAGTGATGGAAGTAGATAAATTATTACATAGACAAAAATGTAATAACATGGTGGAAGTCGATAAATATGTTCAACGATAGGGGATCTAACGATCAACCGGACAGTATTGATGTTTGAAAGGCGATAAACTCACGCTTATCTTAAAGTATTGTGATAGTTGAAGTAAGATTCGTTTGAAAGAAGAATTAGTGTGGTCTTTCATTTTTGGTTTAATTTGTGTGAGGAAGTCTAAACTTTCTGCTTTAGGCTTACTTGATGGATGAAACAAGTAATCAAAAGTTTAAAGGAATATAAGTTTGAGTCATTTTCGGTATTATCAAAGTACTAACTTGTTATATTTCTCATAGTCTTGATTATCTTCTTAGAGAATATAACTTGTCCGAATCTTCCCCATTTCTATTCGAGGGTTATTTGTTTGATATAATCATGATGTAAATTAGGTAAAAATAATTGGAGGTTCAGCAAACTCTTATGCTCACAAAATGATAAGAAACTGTGTCTCTATCCTAACACGAATGGTAAAATTCTCTATCCGATTACAATTGATTGATCACTGGGTGGTGATCAATCTCTTGCTTGTCTAGTCCTTATTAGTGCAGATCGAGTGCTATCGATCATGTTGCAATGTGGCCACCAGTCTAGGTGACTCGACACTGCGGGCACTATGTATTGAGATTTAGATGGTGGTTGGAGGTAGTCAACAGGAAACCCTGGACCCGGGTTTCGTGCTACTTGGCACTCGTCAGCAAGGTGTACCTGTAATCTTGAGGGAACTGGTGCTCCCTGGCGGATTCGATCTCGTGTCACCCAGCTTCACAGTCAGAGACGTTACCACTGAGCTATCCGAGCCGTGACTAACCTCCTGTAGGACTGAGATGTAATTACAATTGATTGATCACTGGGTGGTGATCAATCTCTTGCTTGTCTAGTCCTTATTAGTGCAGATCGAGTGCTATCGATCATGTTGCAATGTGGCCACCAGTCTAGGTGACTCGACACTGCGGGCACTATGTATTGAGATTTAGATGGTGGTTGGAGGTAGTCAACAGGAAACCCTGGACCCGGGTTTCGTGCTACTTGGCACTCGTCAGCAAGGTGTACCTGTAATCTTGAGGGAACTGGTGCTCCCTGGCGGATTCGATCTCGTGTCACCCAGCTTCACAGTCAGAGACGTTACCACTGAGCTATCCGAGCCGTGACTAACCTCCTGTAGGACTGAGATGTAATTACAATTGATTGATCACTGGGTGGTGATCAATCACATGCTTGTCTAGTCCTTATTAGTGCAGATCGAGTGCTATCGATCATGTTGCAATGTGGCCACCAGTCTAGGTGACTCGACACTGCGGGCACTATGTATTGAGATTTAGATGGTGGTTGGAGGTAGTCAACAGGAAACCCTGGACCCGGGTTTCGTGCTACTTGGCACTCGTCAGCAAGGTGTACCTGTAATCTGTTGACTACCTCCAACCACCATCTAAATCTCAATACATAGTGCCCGCAGTGTCGAGTCACCTAGACTGGTGGCCACATTGCAACATGATCGATAGCACTCGATCTGCACTAATAAGGACTAGACAAGCAAGAGATTGATCACCACCCAGTGATCAATCAATTGTAATTACATCTCAGTCCTACAGGAGGTTAGTCACGGCTCGGATAGCTCAGTGGTAACGTCTCTGACTGTGAAGCTGGGTGACACGAGATCGAATCCGCCAGGGAGCACCAGTTCCCTCAAGATTACAGGTACACCTTGCTGACGAGTGCCAAGTAGCACGAAACCCGGGTCCAGGGTTTCCTGTTGACTACCTCCAACCACCATCTAAATCTCAATACATAGTGCCCGCAGTGTCGAGTCACCTAGACTGGTGGCCACATTGCAACATGATCGATAGCACTCGATCTGCACTAATAAGGACTAGACAAGCAAGAGATTGATCACCACCCAGTGATCAATCAATTGTAATTACATCTCAGTCCTACAGGAGGTTAGTCACGGCTCGGATAGCTCAGTGGTAACGTCTCTGACTGTGAAGCTGGGTGACACGAGATCGAATCCGCCAGGGAGCACCAGTTCCCTCAAGATTACAGGTACACCTTGCTGACGAGTGCCAAGTAGCACGAAACCCGGGTCCAGGGTTTCCTGTTGACTACCTCCAACCACCATCTAAATCTCTATCCGATTATCAAACATCCAATGGTAGAATTTACCGTGTGAAGGTTTTCAAATTAAACCACTGAGAATGTTTTGATCTATGTCAAGCTGATTCTCAGCGTCTTCTTGATGAGAAGATTATACTCAGATTATATTCAAGATTTCTAGTCGACACTATACTGAGCTAAGTAACGTATTTTTTCTCTTATAGGTTTATACTACTTATATACTATAACAGTAACGTTTCTGATGAGTAAAGTAATTTCCATGGTTGATATCATGAGTCAATTGAAGCTAGACCATCAAGGAAAATCTGGAAGCACTGGACCGCCGTTTCGTCCTATTTTTGGACTCCTCAGGAGTGTCACTCAATTTCGTGGATTAGTTAAAGTTAGACATTAACACCGTTCAATGCCGTCCAGCTTAGTGGTCTAGAGGTTAGAAGGTCGCGTGCGAGACCGATGGGTCCTGGGTTCGAATCTCGCGAGGCGGGATAGTGAGTGCACACTGCTGGAGTCCCACAATAGGACGAAACAGCAGTCCAGTGATTCCAAGGTTTCCATGGTAGTGTAGCTTCAATTGAGTCACAATCTTAACTACTGAAATTACTATAATATCCACAAAAACCCTTTCTGATAGAAAAATAATTGTCGGAAATTAATTTTATTTCACCTTATTTGAGTGTAATAATTAGTCGTTATTTAACTAACTTCATTTATACTGTGGTATTACTTTCATCGATATTGATTCCTAAAAACCCGAGTTCCTTTATATATAAATCTATTATCCGTACTACCTTTACTGGAAACTCCATTACGTATAATCATTACGTAAATTCATCTAATATAATTGCAAATGGATGAGAATTTCCAAATGGATCAACAACTATGTTTTCAATTTTCTATTAGCTCTTATGAAACCGTTATTTTCTCTAATAAGCTGAATCTAATCCACAAAATGATACTAACTGAATGGGTATAGCCATATTCTTGATGTTTGAATGTGTTCATTTACATTCTGTGTTACTGTACAATGTGCGAATGATGAAATAACATGTAAATTATCTGTTTATACATTATCCGTCAAGAACTATTCAAATGAATTTACAGAATTATCTTTCATTAATATGAAATATCAAAATATTCAGAAAAATATTCCAGATTTTCTATACTACATAGATATAAGTAAATAGAATATTATGATGCCCATATATTATCATTTTTCGATAAAAACCTTTCATAGAACATCCATTTTGAAAGTAAAAGAACACAATAAGACATATTAATAATAATTTAAATTTATATTTTTATTTATTTATATAAGGTGGTATTCCATTTAAAGAACCTGATAAAACATACATTGATAATCATTTAACCGATGAGATAAGATCAAAAGATCATTCCACTAAGGACTCTTCTTCATTATGTTTAAACGAATCTGATGTACAAAAAGATTCAACAATTATTAAAAAACAAGTAAATAATGAAAATAATAAACAAATCAATCATAAATCGTTATTTAAAACAATTAAAAAACAATTACAAGATAGATGTGATATAGGAAATAATTGGTTATTAACATCAAAAATCAAATTAATTCCAAGAGTAAGTTGAACAATAGAATATATATATATATATATATATATATATATATATATATATATATATATATATATATATATATATATATATATATATATATATATAGTGTTTTTCATCAACTTGGTGGTATTTATTTATTTATTATTTATTTTAACACATAGATATTAGTACAAGGAGGCACCAAATACATATGCGCCACACAAATCTCGTTTGACTTGTGTGAGGTCTGTGATACTTCCCGGGTGCCCAAACCGAAGCAGATGGTTTACTTAGGAGGCCACACCCGGAGCCTTCGACCTAAAGGTCTGATTCACAAAGCAGTGGAGCATCGTAAAAAATGCAATCCCATGGTAGCCGGTGACCAACAATTGGTTCATACGCCATCTGTTCCCGCAGGATACTGGAGCCCATGTGCACCATTGGTTTGGAATCAGGGTTTTCCAACTCCCCTAGGTGGACTCTCCATGTCCACCAACCCGGTTAAAGCGCCGGACGTTCGCTTTTCGTCCTCTCAATTTCGTAAACAACATCCCCTCCACGAGGAGGCGGTGAGTAGGACTTCCCTGGCATTGGCCGCATACGCGTGGCCATGTGAGAGCATTTCGAGAGAGAGAGAGAGAGAGAGCGGACTCTCCCTACTCTCGGCTATACCAGGGCATTTGGGGGCTGATGGTATTTGACATAGTTGTAGGTGATTGACAAAAAGTCCTGCTTAACCAGTGTTTTTTTATTCTTATTTGATTAAATATATTTAGAATATCTAAGTAACTATTAATTATATAGGTACTCAGATACTTATAATCGATTGTTATAACCATGAGAGTTGATAATGTAAACTAGTGAATTGAGACAAAAATAATAAATGGATTACACTGAATAGTTATTCTTATAAAATGGTATCATACAGAATCATATAGGATTCAGTAAAGGACATCTAATATGTGAAAGCAGAGGATTATCATTGATCAAAATTTTTTTCATTTTTTAACTAAGATTTTTAATCAGTCTTGAATTTTAATGGGGATTCGGTTAAACGGTGAACATCTATTCAGAAGTAAAATAATGTATCTAGTGGTATTACTCAAACTATAAGACAGCATAAATTTCGGTTGGAAGTAGCATGATCTCGAGCTTATCGATGACAAGCACGCATCTGAATAGCTGATTAAACTAATTCCTATCAGTCATTCATAGTTGTAGATTGAAAAGAATAAATCACAATCGTCTAAGTTTAGCCAATCAGTCATTACTCTATTGTCATAATTTTTTGAATCATTGGTACATAGAATATTTTAAAATCGGCTTAAAAAATCGCTTATTGAAATGAAACTGTTACAAATTTGGCCATTATAATGGCTACTTAGAAACCTGACAAAATCGAAATGCTGTAAGTTTTCATTCAGGACTGATCGCCAACACAACTAACATTAGACAAAAGTTTCCTGACACAACCCAGTAATTATAAACAATGAAAATTAACAATATTTCTGTAAAAGAAGAATTTGAAAATATCCTTAGAGTTTAGGAAATTATTTTCCAATAAATAAATAATGTCAGGAAGGGTTTTGTGGATATTATAGCAATTTTAATAGTTGAGATCATGATTCTATTGAAGCTAGATAACTATGAAAAACGTGGAAGCACTGGACGGCCGTTTCTCCTCACTGTAGGACTCCTCAGAAGTGCGCATCCGCGATCCCGCCTCGCGAGATTAAAAAATCAAGTTCATAAAACAGATTTTCAATATGTTCAGTAATTTAACTTCATGGTATTTTACCAGCAGTCATATTAGACAACGGATATAAAGTTATGGAAACTACAGTGAATGTATATTAGTTCTTGTTTGTGTAAAAGTTATTCTGAAACCTTGTCTAAATGTTTAAAGATAAAATCGTTTTTTATGAAAGAAAGTTCACTATGTTTGCCAAACAACATTTTCCATTTAGTAGTGTTGTGTTCTCTGAACTAGTTGGTTTACTTATTAAGTTATAATCGTCGTTCTGTATGAAGTCATTCTGAAGGTTATTATAGTGATATCATGTATTCTTTCGTCATTGTTCTCCCATTTGTTATCTTGCTGGATTGACTTCAGATTATCGATTGACCTGCCGGTATGTATCTATAGACTGGATTTATAACAATATGTTTATTGATTATCTGCTGATGAGAATGTGATGTTGTCATCAGTTCTTTGAGTTTCCTAGAATAACTCTCCGATGTTGTTCAGAACGACAATGAAATAGTTGTCATTAAACCATCTAACACGGAAGAACACAGAGTCAATAAATCATCTAGCTGAAGTATTACATCACCTCCATCATTTCAGAAGCTTCAAATATTATGACTGACGTGCTCACTTGCTTTAGTTGTGTTATGTTACAAGTCGTAGTGAATTTGAAAGAATTATTTAAACCCATTTGATTTGTTTAAAATGACTGTTGAGTAATAATTCTTAAGTGAATAATCCCATTGACTACTGCATAAGTTTACGTGACACAATTGTAAACAATTATTTACATTCTCAAATATTATTCTCAGCTGATGATTTATTAAAAACCGCACTTTAATAAAATATACATGATTTTTCAGCAAGCAGTTTCATCCAAGAAACCAACTATACCAACTCCAAACATGGATTTATTAAAAGTGAATGTTTTAAATACAAAGAAAAATAGTTATACTTCCAAAACAACTCAATCAACTTCACATGAACAAACATTTAAGAAAAGACCACATTCAGTTGCATCCGTAAGTTGATTATTTTTGGATTTTGAATTAACTATAGTCAACAACAGAATATTGTCAAGTGTCAAATATGTGACGTGCTCTTAAAAATAAGCAAATTTAAAAAATGATACGTCTCGTTTCAGTATTTGTTGAATAAAAATAAACACAGTGGTAATATAATTAGCAATGACTTAAAATAAGTACTAGAAATTAACAAAATCAAAGTCATTTCTTTCAACTATAACGTTTAATCCATTCTTGTGATTTACAGAATTTTGATCTATATGCTATCTATTGACTGAAATGCTAAACAAAATTATACAAAGTACAGACATTGTAGTATTGTTAAAATTGAAACTTATAGTTTGTTTAAAACGTCAAATGTTCACATACTTTTAATCAAAATAATTATACAATAAATAAATAGATTTACAACTATCTAGTATTTTTGTGATTCTATATCATGGACTAATGTTAAACAAACAAATATTAGAAAACAGAAACCTGTTTCGTCTCTGTGTGGGATTTCTTAGCAGCACCTATCCATAAACTCGTCAGGGGTCGAACCCAGGACTTTCAAACCTCAAGGTGAGCATACAGTTTTCAGATCATTGAGTTGGCATCAACTTGTTTATTTCAATAAATTTAGCCGACTTCCCAATATAACGCTGCCATCATCTATTGTTATTAGTGATAGCTGTTTCACGTTCAACACTGTGGAATACCTTTGACTGCGGTTTTCCGGAAATTTCTTCTGTAAATTGATCAACAGTAATACTTTTAGGAGTTTTGGACATTGGAGTCTTGAGGACTGCTTAATTTTGTAGTTTGACGTTGAGGACTAGCCTTGGTTGTTTTATTGTACAAATTGGTCTTCTAAAGCTACTTAAGAATTCAGACATATTGTGTTTTACAAGTCTTTGTTCGTTACATCAAACAAAAGATGGAATATAATCTTGAAGCCAAGCCATAGGATTGCTTTGTAAGTTAAATTTAATGGAAGATAGTCAAATCCAGTCAACAAATCCCACTGAACTTGTTCTCATGAATGTTGTGACACATTGAGAAAGTGTATCTACTAGAAAAATAGAAATTATAATTACTGAAATTCTGATGTTTAATATATCATCGATACAAGCTGGTCAGAATTTTTTACTGTACTAGAAATAATTAGGATGTGTATGTATGCTTACAACCCCGTTGAATAGCATTACATTTCGGCACATGAGGAGACCAGGAAAATAAAAACAATATTTTAGCTCCGTAAATCCTTATAGAACTTCCTCCGCATGTTTATAACGTTCTGACAGACTAGATAGTTAAAAATGTATCTTACTATTTAAAGTAATGAAATGTGCTATTCTGTCTAAAATTACAGTATTTATAATGTTTACGGTTATTGAATATTCTCCCTATTTTATTGAATCAGTTCACTGATGACTGTACATTATCTACCTGCGTACTATTAGTTTGTATATCATTCATACTGATTCTCATTCAATCAACTCCATCAGCTTTTGACAAAACTCTAACGTGACCTTGAAATGAGATAACGCGTATATACGAAATACACATTGATAGAAAAAATTGTCATTAAGAATTTTAGTTACAGATTTGGGTTTTAAGTAGTTGATGATTTCCTGGCTATTCTAGCCAGTTGAATCAAAAGATGTAAATCAATTTCCATTAATTTATTCGAATGTCTTCATAACTGCTCAGATATTAAAAGCAAAATATCAATTTTTTTCCATGCTAACAGTTTAGCTTTTTAGAGCATTTTGATGCTGTATTGGGTAATAAAAGCAGTCATCAGTAAACGTTATATTCATTATGTTTATTCGCAGACCCATTCACGACTTTCAAATCAGCTTAATCCAGAATGTGATACAAATATATCAACTGCTAGTTCGCGTAGTAGTAGTAAACGTTTTCCATATTTGTATGAAGAAACCATTGCAAGGACCAAACCCAACAGACCAAATAGTGCTCCATGTATTGTAAGTAACTAGCAATATTTCTAATGATATGTTTGTAATATTTTCTTTACTAACGTAAATTTATTTCAAGGGTTGAGATCACGAGCTAGACCACCATGGAAAACCTGGAAGCACTGGACGGCCACTTCGTTCTATTTTAGCACTCCTCAGAAATGCACACCCACGATCCTGCCTCGCGGGATTCGAACCCAGGACCTATTTAATTATCTGGAAAGTTTCTGTTACCTATTCATCAAAAATTCGTATCGATTCGGTTTTGAAAGGTGATGAAGAACATGCGATTTTCAATATTCAGTGATATTTGTAAGTATCAATGTCAAGGTTGGACTTAATAGTTTCAAATAAATTGAGCATTGAGTAGAAAGTTAATAATAAATATATTGGAATATAATAAAAATACATATTTATTAATTAGGGGTATTTGTTCAATAACCTAGTTTGCTTATCAAGGAGAGTAAACTAACAGATAAGTAGAATTAAAGTAATTTCTTTACTTCACCACTTGAGTAATGTTGAAGCGAAAAATTATAATACATGGGTAAATCCGAAAACCTTGAAAAGTAAGGACCATGTTAAGTAGAAATCTCCCTTTGAACTTTTATGGGAATACAAAGTTGAATTCAAAACAGTAACCTCCACATGAGATAAGCTTTGATGGTATCCAAAACTGCAATGATAGCTCCTCAACTAGATCACCTATGATGTGCTCAATAGGGACTAGCGTAGAAAGGAAAGTTTCATAGTTCTTGTGAGAACCTGTGACCAGTCGAGTTCAACCGTTTTCAGTGTGGGTAAGCTACTCACTAATAATAATGTAAAATGGTCGCGCACTATCGCTGATTGATTTATGTTAAAATTGAAAGCCACTGAATTCAACTTCAGTGTTCTAGATGTTAGGCGTTTATATGAGGAACCAGAAGGTCATGGGTTAGTTTCTGGTACGCGGTCATGGGTGTACACTGCCAAGGCTTCATATTTAGGAGCAAACCAGCTTTTTACGGCTCCTAGCTTCCAACGATTATCTGACTTATGTCGGTAACATATCTCAATATACCATCTAGCTCAGAGAATTCAATATCACCAAAACGATGATTGATAAAATGGGTTACTTATCTTGAAGTTGAATAATGTACATTTAAGATGAAGAAAATTTACATGTTAATTTTATGTGGAAATTCTTCAATCACCAAGAAGAATAATCAACTTCACTTTCATATCCTTATTCATGATGGCTTGAATTTTGTTGAGAAAATTCATTCAAACAGATGAAATGCAGCGGGAATTATTATTACTATTATTATTATTGTTAACCATGACTTTATTCAATACTCAATCTTTACTATAATACAGAATTCTCAGTACAAAGTATTTTCTTTTACAATCAGTATATATTTGAAATAACTAAATAAACTATCAAGAATTAAGTGGAGTTTTTGAACAAAAAAGAATCTGTACAACTTTTCATTAGAGATATGTTTAAGGATACAAGTTATTGACTAGGTCAGCCCTTACAACCAGTTTGTCGCGTAGTATAATTGCGTGATAAGGTATTGTAGAGCATTTATACCTTTGCTTGCGTGCATAGATTCTAATGTATTGGCGTCTCGTTCTACCAGAAGATATACAAGGAGACAAATGTGAATGAAGTGAATGGTTAATATCTGCTAAGATAACAATTGCTAGGAGTTTGTAAGAATTTAAATATCGATCTACAATCATATACATAATAAGCTCAAGAGATTCGTCACATGCTCTGGTAACTTCCCTCAGCACTCTCCGCAATACGGCAAAATCTTTCCTCATAAGCCCAGGAAAGAATGATGGGGAATAGTAAAGAACAATACATCGCACATGATAATTAGATTGTAAAAGGGAGAAGGGAGCAATGCCAAAAACATGTTGTCTGCTTGTATAGTAATTCAAAAGGAAAACTTCCCTTGGTATCAATAAAACATGAATAGACCAAGAGAAATCAGAAGAAAAACTTCCTTACTTACACCTGTCACTCCCAATGGAGCATAGGCCGCCGGCCAGCATTCTCCAACCCACTCTGTCCTGGTTTTTTTCGTACTACTTACATTTGGTTTTTAAATTTTTGTCTTCTGTTGTTGTTGTTTTTGAACTTTGTAATTATCTTGAATTTCTTGAGTTTGTCAGTATCCCGAAGAAAGGCCGTATTAAACTTTTGTGCTGTTGTCCGCTCCCATTGTCCGGGGCTTCTTGAGTTTCACTTTCGTCTTGGCGACCAGCAAGTGATGGTTTGATGATATGTCAGCTCCTCTCTTAGTTCTCACATTCTCCATTGTCCTCCTGAATTTTTTGTCGATGCAGATATATTCGATTCGGTTCTGCGTAGTGTGATCCAGGGAAGTTCATATGGTTATGTGTATGGGTTTGTGTGTGAATATAGTACCGCCTATGACAAGTTTATTGAAGACACATAAGTTTGCAAATCTCTCACCATTTTCGTTTCTTTCTCTCAGTCCATATCGTCCCATTATGTCTTCAGATCCGGTGTTGTCCATTCCAACCTTGGCATTTAGGTCTCCAATCAGAATGGTCAGGTTCTTTGTTTGGCACTTCTCGACGATTGACTGCAGCCTATTGTAGGATTGATCTTTAGCGTCTTCACTGCAGTCGTTGGTAGGCGCACAGCATTGGATGACGTTCACTAAAGTGTTCACTTTCTTTGTTTTGAAGGAGGCTTTGATGATCCTTGGTCCATGAGATTCTCATCCTATAAGTGCTTGTATAACATCAATGCAACTCCTTGTGTATGTGGGGCATTTTCTTCTTCATGGCCGGAGTATAACAGAAGCTCTCCCGAAGTTAGTCGTTGTTGTCCAACTTGCGTTCAATGTGTTTCACTGATCCCAAGCACCTCTAGGTTGTATCTCGTCATTTCTGCAGCAATTTGGAAGGCTCTCCCGGTGTCCCATATTATACGAACATTCCATGTACCTAAATAAATGGTTCGTCTGGTTGTCAGAAGAGGCATCGACCTCGTGGCTTCCGAAGGAATCCGGCTCTCATCATGAGGCGTCATAGTTCTTCTAAATGAAGACCTTCTGACTCCTGGGGCAGATTTTAAAAGATCTGAATAAATTTTCTGGTTAGCTTTTTTTAGCGAGTTAGTTTTCTACGGGATGGGGTCGCTAACCCCATGCCAAACCCTCCTCCTTTACCCGGTCTTGGGACAAGCGAAAGCCCCAGAGGGACTCCCAGTGGAGTTAGAAGAAAAAACCTACACCAAGATAAATGACCTATGACACTTGTCAAGGAATCCCGATTAATACAAACTTTGTGGGATTCCGATAGGGTGCTTAATTGCTGTTCATGTTTCCTGCTAAATTTAATAGTTTGATATTTAGACGGATTAAGTGTGAGAACATTAAAAACAGACCACTACTCAATAGGAGACGAGAACTCATTCATTTTAATGGGATGTGAAGTGGAAGAAATCGTTGTACGTACAGTGTGATCATCTGCATATCTAATAAAAGTGTTTCCTATGGAAGATGGCAGATTATACAGAAAAAAAATTAGAAAAGAGAAGTAGAAACAGCAGCTTTTCGTGACGCATTTTTTTGAGTTAAGGACATTAAACATTGTTCATCAAGTGCAGTATGTTGTCCTCATCTAGAGAAGTGAGAACACATTCAATAGGATACTTAGCTAACAATGTTGATGCTGTCAAACTTGTTTAGCAGTAGTGGTCTTGGAATAGAGTTAAAGGGAGAAGTATAGTTTAGAAATGCGCGTTGAACCCAATCCCTACTCCTTTGCATTTTTTTTTCACCAGGTATTCTCATAGATATTAGGACTATCTCTATCTTTCTTCATATTTTCGATATAAAATTAGTCGAGGACTCGTTAAAAATGCTCGTGGTGGGTTGACACAGAACGTCAATGAACTTCTTAAAGGGGAGGTTTGGGATTTCACTAGATTGGGACGAGTTAAGTGACGAAAGTTATTTTCAAAGATGAATTTTGGTGAAAAGCGAAATACAACTCTTCTTCAAACTTGTGGATATAATGAAGCATGACGTCAAATGACTGACTTAGAAAAGACTTATTCAAGTCACAAACATTAAGCTAGGTATCGTCACAAATGCAAGGTAGTATACATTACTTTAAATCAGCATAACTAATAATGACCATTGAAACAAATAAATACAGTATCAATCGGATCATGTTTTTGTTTTCCCAAAATGTTTTGTTTGTTTAGAAGAATGGTTCGAATTTAATGAAATAAACAATTAAATATATTTCATCTATAATTTAATACTACTAACTAGTAAGTAAATGAATCACTTTGAATTTTCCGGCTTGTAAATCATTTCAAAGATATTTGTGTTTTAATTCTTGAATTAAACTTAGCTGGAAGAATATGATAGAGCTGTCCCAGTTATTTCAGAACTAGAAGGTAACATGGCGGACACTGAGTCTGTTGTATCAGTTAGTGCTAGCAATACTGACCAAGAGTCAGCGGCTTTCACATCAGACGAGAAATCGTCATATCAAACACCTGGAAGAGAGGATGAGAAATTAGACGAAAGTACCAAGATTTCCCCTGCGATATTTGATAAGAAGTTATTAAAAGAATGTAAAGTTGTGTTAGAAGATGAATATGATCAAGCTTTGAGATGTTACGGATGGAGAATGGAAATACCTGGTGATCCTTTCAATTTAAAGTAAGAATATGAAGTTTTATTTGACATTGGAGTTGATAATTATTTACCAGCTTTTAGTAAGTGTGATTGGTAAATACTCACATATGTATATCATTATCTGACAGCTTACTGAGGGTATATACGTTACGTCACCACAGTATTTTTCGATGGAGATTAGTTTGAGATTCATGAAATGCGTGCACCCACAAATATGGTGTAGTGAACAAGAACACGAGTGGGAAAAATCAAATGTATTTAACACGAAATTAATTAAATATAAATAACTCTAAAATAATATAGGTGATATATTTCTTTAAACAAAATGACGCTTCATTACGAGGTAAAATGATCTTGTGGAAGATGAATCTAACTCAAAATGTCTAGATAAATAACTTCATTTAAACTAAAGATTTCGTGAGACTAGTCAGTGAATCAGGTCAATTATGAAAACTTCCATTTTTGATATACATTTTACATAAACTCATAGTATTCTCGAAATGAGACATGGGTATGATGAAGAATGTATGATTTTCAACTTTATTTTATAACTAGTGAAATGTATATGAATATTTCACAGTCATTGTCAATGTGACCGAATGCAGTCTACAAATAAGATGGTTTGGTCAGTTCATAAATATCAAACATTTGTATTTTTTTAGACTGTAAGTTGACAATTACCGTCACGTTTAGTCACATTTATAACGTACTGTAATAAACAATACTCTAACAAAAAACACCAAGTAAAATCTTTTCTTTTACTGTTCGTTTTAGATCCAAATTATTACCTAAACGATTACCATACACTGTTAAATTACATCTACAACCAACTTTAGGTCAACCACCAAAAATGACGAAACAAAATCTTGAAACATTCTTTCAACCAACTGTTAAAATCCCAATACCAAGTTTCACTATCCATCCAGATTTTAATTCGGAATTTTATAATGCACGTAGAAATTATTTGATTAAAAAAGATCTTTGGAATTACGCTACACGTAGTTATTCATTTGCATATTAGACTATTATGTTATGTAATAAAATATTATCCACTTATATATACGTTTTATTCACAATGAAAGAATTGCTTCAGTGTGTAGAATATGCTTTATGTATGACACACATGTAGAATATAAGACATTTTAGTGATGTGTTCAACGAGTTTGCTGTAATGAATGACAATGATTTTTATAATGTAAGCCTTTTCAATTCAGAACAATCAGGGACATCAAAACCATCCTACTGAATTCTCAGTGTATATTTCATTAGGCATGTAACGTACTCTGTTTATCGATAACTGATGAACTATATTCTGAGTAGATATTCAAGATTAACTATTATAGATAAATTGTTTGTCACATTTATATTGGCAAAAGGACTAGAGATATAGTGAGGTATTTTTAAACGAATATTTTTAATAAGTTCAAGTACAAAAACCTCATATACTTAAAGTCTCACAAATAGGCAGACATTATAACAGCTAATGCTATGACTTTATGTCCGGTTAGTTATCACGTGATTTACCCACCAATCAAAATACGACTTTTACAATCTTAGCCCTGTGCCGAACCAATGACGTTCGACCGGTATTAGCAGCCTAGCGTCCTTATTCGTTCTAAGTCCGCCTAGCCCGTCCACGTGAGTCCAAAACACCAATATCAGCTTCCAATATGCGAATCGAATAATTTATTTCAGACATACTGGGTATATAATATATCAAATAAACAGACTGCAACGCACCATAAAATGGGAAATAACATTTGTACACAATAAAGTCAAAAAGTGGCTGTGAACGTGAGAGGCAGTAGTCAATAAACTGAACATAGCTTAAGAACAGTAAATCGTACAATAATAAATTATAGGTCAAAATAAAGCTTATGACAAAGGGGAATATAGATATACATAATCTAGCCACTGAATATTTATACCATGAGAATATATAAACAATGTAATCCATCAATGGGTTTCAGATGTTACTCGTAATGTAATCTTCACTAGGATATAACAGCTATCACCTTGTCCGTATCTAAAAAGTGTCATGTTAGCTCTACTAATGTATGTGAATTTGACAGTAAACATTTTTATCCCAAAAGCTGATCGATACAAACATAAGAAAATTATTATTACTTCAAAATTTAAAGTATATGTCAAAACTAAATTCGTCTGTAGTTAAAAGAATAAATTTATTTCAAACCATCTTCTACCCAACGTCAAAGTAATGCCATGTTCCCTATATATTCCACATCAAATTTTTCAAAATAATTGACTGGATTTAATACTACTCATAGGCAATGCGATGCCATAATGAAACACAAGACCTTGTCTAACTTAAAGGTTGTTTAAAAACAATACTAAATGTGGTTATAATTATTCTTTTGAATTCAAATAAGTTTTTAGGTGAGACATAATGTAAAGTATTATCCGGTAGATGGCAAACGGAACTGGTATCTAGAAACACAATAACTTTTTCAAAGTTTCAGTCAAATTTGACGGTGTTTAGCCATTCTGTAATGGTTAAAGCGACCAAAGGTTGCTTCATAATATAAGTGATATGATGCTTTTACGCTGACTTTATGTATATTTACTAAGAGGAATCCAAATTGACGTGATTTTAGGGTAATCGAATATCTTTATTCTTTGTACTAGGTTGATTCCTAGTTTTTCGTGCTTTAATGCATAGAGAAGTAAAACTGTAGGATTATCTTTAGTAGATTACAAGAAAGAGTTGTAATTCTTGATCGATATTATAGTTGTAACGTCAAGTTGTAAGAGGGTGAACAGGGAAATAAAAATTGGCTTCAACAATTATAAAACTTCAGAATGTCTTTGAATATCTCTATATAACATTTATTTTAAATAAGTTCTCTGCTGGACATGAATGCTGGAAGACAATGATTAGGTAAAGCTATAAATAAATCTTTGAAATAGTTTCATGTATGTTCTTACATCACATTGAAAATTATTCGACTGTAATAACGCTTGGACCAGTGATGTTACCCATGTTATCCATGTTCGTCATATGAAGTTTCATCTCAACAATACTATTCAAGTTCCAAATGTCACACAAAAGCTTTAAAAAGTATTAATTTCACAACCAGTAATTCAGTGCCGAATAAATGATAACATAATACAATATACAGTCATCATTCATTATCGTCATTGTTATTCTATCTCTTTAACATAACTCCACTTCTATAACATCGCGAAATGTCGCTGTAATTTTTATGCTTATTGCTATATGAGCATTTCACTAAGGATTAGCTTGTTTTTGGCAAACTGTTAAGATAGCCTACAAATTTCGCTTCATTCTTATAAATGTGACTGAAAATGTGCATTTAGAACATAAGCTGTAATTCAGAAATGATAATAACTGTCTAAGTACAGACGTGATTGAAGTGAAATTGTGATAATCGATAATAAAATCAATAATTCTTAAACCAGCCATTCAGTTTAATTGCATGCTAGACGTACGGTGAATACAATGAACATGGTTAATGAAATGTATTCTGTTGTTTTCATTTAATTCCTATATCAGAAACTAACCTTGGGTAGACAGCTACTGAAATATAAGGATGAATAACTAGCTGTTTCTTCCTGGTGTGGAAATCATCGGCGATGAGGACCCATAACCAAAAATGGTTCCGAAAACAAAGTCTTCAGGGCGGTCCTAAGTGCTTAAATTTCAGACTACTGAGTTACCATCCAATGGTTAATATTTTTAACTTCAGTTAGCGAATTATCATGTCCATCATCCATTTTCGTCAAAAATGTTTGCTTACCACATACATGATGTGTATGGTGTACTGTTTTCCAACCTCATTTTGTATCATCATAACATTAACAGTAGATGGATTTCATTTCAACTCATTTAATTCATCTTTCAATCATTCATAATGACATATTATTAGTTGTAATGTTATTTAGGTAAAAATATCTATGAGGCTTTAACATAATATGTTTTATTTGATGAGTTTAGAAAATGAATTTCCATTATGCTTGGCGATATAATATTTTCTGTTAGTCATGAACTATTGAATGTAGTGTTAAATCGTAGTTTTTCAAATGAAACCATCCATTTAAGCTGTACATTCATGTTTATCATGTTTTAATGAATTTACGAGTTTATAGAATTTCAGAACGAGAATGCATCATTAAGTAGTTTGTGATTTTAAGCACCAAAATAAGATCACTTGTTAATCTGAAGGTTAACGAATAATTGGATAGTAAAAATAATTCACAGATCAGATAACTATCTACTTGACACATGAAAAAGTAATAGAAAACGTAAATGTCATAATAAAAATTAAATAATAATTGTAAACAGTTGTCAAGACGTGATAGTAATTGATTACGGATTAAAATTACAATGGAATGATGAGGATATAGTAATAAAAAACAAGATCAATACTTACTGGAAAGGTAATTTTGGACTACAGAAGGCTGAATGTGTTGAGTCAGCTTTCGGAGAACTTCAACGGAGCCTCCAGAGGCCCAAAAGGAGCCGAAGAGCCCTAGCCAATCACAACACGATGGAGCATTCTAGAATTCCAACGTGGCGTGCTACTATTGGTCAGTAGCATAATTTGTCGCTAACGGATTGGCCGAAATATGATGTTGATTTAACAAACGCTAACATCTATAAATACCCATGATTTTCTGTACAAAAACGAACCTTGGAGTAAAGTATTTCTCTCATACTTTGCGACTTCTCTTTGGTGTTCAGGTCGCTGTATAGTTCTAGCTTGCGGGTTACCAGAATAGCTTAGGATACGAATATAGAGTTCAATCAACAAGGCTTATCAGAATGAGAGCACGTGTTACTTTTAGCCATAGAGTTCAGATGTGAATTGGTGAATTATCAGTCTCTCACCGTTATATAGGTTTTGATTTCATCTCCATTTGGTCCCTCAATGTTTTAAATGAGTAGATTATTTTGTAGGACATGAAACTAAGTTGAGTAGAAACTTTTTCTCAGAGATTTTGAGGTCCATTTATTCAACACTGCCACAGTACGATCACCTTTAAAATTCGATAAAAACAGTTTACCTTTGAAGCATTTGTGATCTTTTAGGATTCAGTCTAGGTGTTTCGTTTTCATCAGCCACTTCTGATGAGTATTTATCAAAGTTTAAGTAATTCTTTGTTTGTTGTCTCGTTAAGGAATATGCTCCTCATCCTGGAGGACAGACAGTAAATTTGGTTTCTCTTTCTACTCAATGTGACTCAGAATTAGGAATTCTGATATAGACTATTTCAAGTCCGTTTTCTATACATAGATCTTGCTGAGAAACTATTTGAACATTTTACGTGTTAAAAATGTCACCCGCTATGTCCTCTTTAAAATTAAGTTTTAGGTAGAGGGTTTTTTACCATCCTTGTCAGAGTTTGTTCTTGTTTACCTCCAACTTGAAAATTTTTGACGAAATTATCTGGATAGCCTTTATTTCATAATTTGTTTTTTATTTTATCTATTTCGCTACCTACACTATCCGCAGAACTTAATGATGAAATTATTGAAAACAATTGTTGGCGAAACTTTAATTTATGTTCGAACCAATCACGTATAAGATAACAGGTCTTGGATTTCGGCGCGAAATTCATTCATCCATTTGGTTAAATAGAGTTTTGTGATTATAGCTGAAGTTAGTTCGTGATGAAAAACCTTCATGTAATTCTTAACCTAGACTGTCAACTGCAAATCATAATTCTGATTTCTCGCACTAGTTTGTAACCCTCATTTGGTCCTGGTTATTCAGTGAATACTCTCAAGGTCACTTTAGCGTCTCTCAAAGGTCGTCCATAAATTATAGTCTCACCCAACTGTTTGCTCAAATATTTTTTTGGTTTTCGAATATTCTATGAGTATTTTTGAACTGCTGAAATCAAGTGATCACCCAGTTATTGATCTGACACCGGCATCCAACGGTGTTAATGTCTAACTTTAACTAATTCACGAAATCGCGCCACCGTACACCATTGTCTTCAGTTAGTTGATATCTCACAACAGACCTGATTGAACTTCACTGGTCAGTGCTTCTCACTAGAACTCCAGGAAA